TATGATGTAAATGTTTGTGCTTTAAATTGGAAAATGAATAATGTCTAAATACACGAAATTCTTCAGAATCACTACATAGTATAAACTAAAAGTCGCTATCCGCCGTCTGTCTGTCCCTATGTATGCTTAGATCTTTAAAACTACGCAACGGATTTTGGTGCGGTTTAGATAGAGTGATTTTTAAGTAAGGTTTATATGTAAAATACATATATATTGCACATATTGCAAGCCGGAGTGGGTCGCTTCGCTAGTATAAATTATGTACAACAATGTATATGTTAGGACGATGTTTAACATAGGTAGGTAAGTACTTAAAAGATATAAGACAACTAATATCAGATCTACCAACTACAAAAGAATAAGATATTCTGCTTTCTTGAATGTATACTACTGACAGTGACCGTGGTTGCTCAGACGGCGAACAAAGTTAATAAGTTTTGTACTTAAAACAAAATGAAGTATAATTTTTTTTTTAATTTATTTTGAGTCGCCAACTGCAAAGAACTTTCAAAGCTAGTTAGTTTATTTTCTGCTACGAGCTTTAGAACAAGACTGCCTTTCGAATTGTCTAGATAGTGTAGAATAATATCTTGCTTTACTAATAAAATTACAACTACACTTTGAAAACTCTGATTGTTATCAACATTCTTCACTAAAGGAGAAATTGTTACTTATTACATTTGTCTTTCCTTTCTTAGTTTTCGATACTCATTAACTTTGACTTGCCTTAACAATAAGCCGTCAATTACGCCAACAAGAGAAACTTCAGATTTCTTTGCAAACATCCAGCTTTTAATAAAACAATAAAATTGAATTGAATTGAATCTTTTGTTCTTTGAGTAGGTATTTATTGGTTGTTATATCTGTAGAAAGTTCTGGAACACTAAAATAAAGTGAAAATCGTAAATAAAACTATTGGTCTGGAAAGTCATTGTTCTGTGTTTTATGACAATCGTGTGTTTAGTAAGAAGGACACAACAAAAATGAACCAAATATAAGATAATAAAAATACAACACTAACTGGATTATAAAGGGTTTATTGTGTAATGTTCTAAAAAAACAAGCCCAAAAATGTGGAATCCAAACATGGACAACCGACAAATGGAGAAAAGAGTTGTAGTGGGAAGAGTACGACCAACTTGGGCCAGAAATCTTCCCGAAGCAAGAGAAGATGATGAGAAGAGCGAAGCCGAAGCTGGAGTAATGCCTCATAGTGAACCGCCTTCTCCTACAGAAACCTGGGAACAGCATTCAAAACATGAAGATAAATACGATGTATTTGGCAAAGTAAGTAAAAATTGTATACATACTTACAAATAGAAGATAATATTAGATAACATTAAGAAGGGTTCAGGACAGGTCGCCTTTAAAAGGGTTTAAGTAGAATAGGCCAAAACATATATTTTTTTCTAATTCCGTAAAGATAAAAGGTTTCTCTGTACCTATAATAATGGGAATACATTAGGAAGTTTAGCTAATGGATTATTTATGTGCACATCAGATACCAATATCTAGAAAGCCAAAGAAAACTTGTTAAGGAGCTACACATGCTCACCAAGAAGAGGTTTCTTTAGGTGACAGCAGAACGTTAAACCAAATATTATATCCACCTTGAGAACACCAATAAAACAGTTATCATTATAGATATGAATAGTAGCACGGAGTCTGGAATTGTGCCCGGTATATGGCAATAGACTCACCAACTATTACATAATTACATGGGATTCATAACATAAATAGTGAAAAGTCGGTGTTACATCGTACAGTGGCATAATGTGCACAGCTGCCTTTATTATGGCATAAGCCGGTAAACGAGCTGACGGATCACCTGATGGTAAGCCATCGCCGTCGCTCATGGACACCTGGAACACCAGAGGCGTTACAAGTGCGTTACGGGTTTTTTGGGGATTAGGAGTTTGAGGATCGTTGGGAATTCAGGAATTGGGGATATTGGGGAAGGGGTAAGTTACCCCAGATTTTCAGTACCATCTTTCACTAGCAAACTTATCTATAGCTATTCCGATTAACCAAAATCGAATGTACCTCTAATATTATACGCTACATCTGGCTTCGTTTCGCTAATTAAACGTAAGTCTACCTATATCCGACTGAGAGCTTTAGAAGCTTCGAAATTGGCCGTAGGTAGGCACTAATTAACGTCGTTTCTAACTTTGCTTTTGACATTTCAATCACTATGTTAGTCTGTGTGTACCTAACTAGAGAGTTATTGCTTATAAATCATTACTTAGATTTCAGTCAATATTTAGGTTAGGTACTTTTTACGGAATAGATTTAGAAATCTCATCTAAGATTAATTTAGTTGCCTCGTTGGCCGAGTGGTCGCAAGTGCAACTGCCGGGCCGAGACCCCTTGTCTCGGGTTCGATTCCCGGGTCGGGCAAAGTATTACTGGGTTTTAAAAAATTCTCAATAGTAGCACGGCGGAGTCTGGAATTGTGCCCGGTATATGGCAATAGGCTCACCCCCTATTACATGGGACTCATAACATAAATAGTGAACAGTGGGTGTTACATTGTACAGTGGTATAATGTGCACCTCTGCCTGATGTTATGTATATAGGTACACGATCAATTAGTGAACCGACCTGAAAGACCCGCAGCACCAGAGGAGTGCATTGCCAACCTTTTATGTTTATACATTAAATTTTCTTGCATTTTTGCCAAAGGTGTGGTACAATTGTTAAATACCATTTCTAGTTTAACTTATCAATGTCTTGGTCCTTTTTTTTTAAACGTTGCCCCACACTAGGATTTTCTCCTGTGTCGTAATATTCGTCACATACACATGACACCCAGACCCGGAACAACAATCTGTGGATCACACAGAGTTGTACCGTGCGGGAATCGAACCCGCGACACGTTGCGCGGCAACCAGTTGCTTAGCCACGGCACCAACCGTGAGGTCAATTTTCTATTTTTCATCATATTTATCACTAACAGTAATATTTATATCTAATAATTTTGTATCATTTTGCAGGTAATGCTTCTCGGTGACAGCGGTGTCGGCAAGACTTGCATGCTAGTTCGCTTCCGGGACGGAACCTTCCTCGCAGGAAACTACATATCCACCGTCGGCATCGACTTCCGGGTACAATGACTCACGTTGCACGTGCCGACTCTAATCTCTAAGTCTTTTACATACGTAGCAAATGATATTACTTATAAGTTAAATGGTGTGAAGAGGTTATAACGAGCGTGAGCGATATCGAAGCGTACGCGATTATGACGCGGTGAAATGCGATGCGGTACGACTGCGACGCGGCGGCTATGTCCTACGTGCAAGCGAATCGTTTCTCTTCGTTTTTGTTTCCGTCATGTCATAATAACTAAACAAAAACATGACGACACCGCATCCAAATATGACATTACGCTCGAAAATATCAAACCAACTGAGTGCCAAGCACGAATAACTATCGCATTCGTATCGTAACAGTATCGAGCGAGTTAAGCGTTCTGATTGGTTGGTTCACTTGAGGCGCCCAATCAGAGCGCCGAACGCTCTCGATACTATTACGTTACGAATGCGATAGTTATTCGTGCTTGGCACTCTGATCGCATCCCATGGGCGTGCTGTGACGTAGGACGTTTCAATACCTACCTATGTTTCGACAGTTTGTTGTAAGTATTCGCACCGCGCCGCACGGCTTCGCATTCGCTTCTAGATCGCTCACGTAGGACGTAGCGTATGCGTTTAGCAAGCTACACGTTAATATGCGGCTAACTAGTCACATTTGACCTCAGTGTCATATTGCGCCGTGGTCAAAGTATTTATGTGTGCGTTACTGTGCGGCTTTTGAAGATAGAATATTGTTTAGGTAACCAACCTCTACTATCTAAGAACATCCCATATTAAAAATGTTTAATATCCAAAAAAATTAATTAAATAAATCTACTCAAAGAAATAGAAACTAAAATTATGTAGTTTACCGGTAAATTCGGGTTATTTTGATTCAAACCCTCTATCTAAAAGTAATTCAGAACAAAACGTATCTAGGTAGTTCCTATACTTACCTACTTAATTATTTTATGTATTAGTTTTTCATTGGTTTAACTTGGGGTCAAAATTACCCTATAACTAGATAGACTTTATGGTCAAACAAGCCCGATTTCACCAAGTATTTATTTATAAAATCCACTTAATATTTTAACTCTACCCACTGTTTTATAATCACAAAATCAAATTAGCTACCGTCTCGTTTAAGCTTTCTTAACCCGCGACAACTTACGCAGAAAAAGTCAGTTCAACGTCCAGCAAAAAGCTTTCATTGAGTTTTATTCGTCGAAACGAAGAGCAAAAAGTTCCGATATCAGTGAATAATGTTATTGTAATTTTTAATTCGTGCAAAAAAAAGTAATTAATGACCGTCAAGGGTTCCAAGTTCAAATGGGCCAGTGAATGGCTGCACGCGACCGGTTCACCGCAACGCTATTGGTGTTCGAAGTTTGGCGCGCTTTTTCCGTTCCCGCCCCTTGCCCATGACAGCTGTGATTGAATCGACTGCTCGCCTGAGTGATTTATTGTTGCAAAGGTTTTTTTTCCTTGCCTGTATGTACAGTTTTTGCAGTTTGATTTATTATAGCTGTCTTTATGGGCTAGAAAAAGTATCTGGGTAGCCAATAACAAGTTTACAGTCAACTTTTTATGATAGGAGAAAAAACTAGCCATAATAGTTTTGTTTAATTGCTCAACGATTTATAAATGATCTGGTAGTAAAATTCATGTCTTTTTTTTGTTAGGTATATTTACTTTAACGAATGCCTAAGTATGTAAATTTTTAAGTGATGCAATATTTTCTACAGAGTAGCTATAACCTACACGTATACAGTACATGACAAAATTAAATCTGTGGCATATTTTCTTCGATTCCTTAATCATAACAACATGTGTGTAATATTTCAATTTATCATTTTCAGACTCCGAAAATCTTCTCAAACACCCATTAATTTGCAATTTAGTACAACTAGCGCCATCTGTTCACAGAACAAGGTAGTGACTGTAGACGGCGTCAAAGTGAAGCTTCAGATTTGGGACACCGCTGGCCAAGAGCGCTTCCGTAGCGTAACACATGCATACTACAGAGATGCTCATGGTAATTAATAAACTGCATATACATTTTTATTTTTATAAGTAATATATAAATTAAATTATTGTGTTCAACAAAATTATATTTCGTGCTAGCTTAAGAGTAATCTGTACACCTTAACGCCATCTATCGGTGAGACATGGTGAACAGAATCCTATTCAACTTTGAATGACCATGATGTCTACCACATGGCATGGCGCGTCTGTTTCTGAGAAGTCTACATTAAGCGTTGTGCCAAACTATCCTTGATAGTAATAATAATATGTCGTATTATAATCAACTTATGACAGTTTCTGCTTTAGCAAGCTTTTGGAACACTATTCGGCAGTTCGGCTTTTATTGAGTCATCATAATAGGTGCGTCGGGAATATAGAAATGCCACCAAGCCGCCAAGGTCTGGCCTCGACCTGTTTCTGTTTGCAAACCGGCTCACGTATTCACACGAGTGGAACTAGATTGGGTCACATTCAACTAGTCTTAACCACACCATGTCATTAACTTAGTCCAGTATCCTTATCGGGGCCGTTCTTAATTGATTCATGGTAGGCCTCTATTTTGTCTCGACTTGGATCGTATGTTCTAGAAATATTGTGAGCTATGGCCATTCTGTTTATTGGGGCACAAGGCTTGGTAATGTGGAATTTTTTCGTATCAATTTTTAGCGGATTTTTTTTTTTACTGAACACCCTATCTGTGAATGTAAAACGTTGATGCGCAATGACTATATAGAATATATTCTCTTATAAATTGTCTGTAGAGCTGTCTGTAACACTTTCACAACTTCATAACCACAAACCACAGAGCTGATTCTGATTCATTTCCATGCGAGGATACCTAAGAATTTAGAATAGGAACTAAGAAAGGACTAACTGTTCACCTACTTTCCTAACTGTTTACTACTGACCATAAACATAAATAACGGTAAAGGTGCATCCCGATTCAGACTTTCAAACCATACATTGCCTTTAAAATAAACAAAGAATCCCTTATCTAATGCTCTGATTTTCTCTGCCAGCGTTGCTGCTTCTATACGATGTGACAAACAAGATTAGTTTTGACAACATCCGAGCGTGGCTGGGGGAGATCCGGGAATACGCGCAAGATGATGTCGTCATCATGTTGTTAGGTGAGTACGGGATATAAAAGCTCCAGAACTCTTTGTATGAGACAATTGGTTTCTTTAACATCTCGTAAGTAGGTACAGCTAAGTTTTTTCTAAGGATTCCTGGTTTACAAAACTAAATAGGATTAGTTAGCTAGGCATCCTACACATTAAATTACCACCTATTATGTGCATAATGGATTAAAAGATAACTGGGAAGTAGATAAAACGAAGGATAATTACGTTAAATTGTCAACCAGTAGTTCTTGGTGCCTACCAAGATTCAATACAATAAGATTTCTTTCCGTTAGTCTGATCTCTTCAAGTTTTTAGATTTACGTATAACAATGAAAGTGAACCTCTTCTAAAAATTTCATCGAATACTCGAGGTATTGGGGTAGAGGCACTAAAGATAAGCATTTAGTTTTATGAGCCACTCTCATGACTAAGATCTGCGGATATAGATGGTAGCCATTGGCAGACTTCATTTCTAAGTCATTTTGTAGTTTACAAATAATATGTATAGACCTTGCTTCTCAGCTCTTTACCAATGTAAATGAACTGCCGTAACCGTCACAAACAAAATACACAGTTGAGGGGTTCCCAATGCTCAACAAAGCCACATGAAAAGAGGTCGTGTTACATTATGCTTGCAGGTAACAAATCCGACAGCGGCCTAGAGAGGGCGGTGAGGCGGGAGGAGGGGCAGCGCTTAGCGAGAGAATACCAAGTGTCGTTTATGGAGACATCAGCCAAAACCGGACTGAATGTCGAAGCTGCCTTCGCCCATGTGGCACGCTCTCTAGTAGCGAAAGCGAACCCCGTCGACCCTTCGAGGCTGGCGGTGCGCGCGCAGCCAACACAGGAACAACGGTCTTCGTGCCCGCCATGTTCGTAATTTGGCGGCAAATTCAAATTTAGAATGTTGAACGATGTGGACCAAAGTTGGTGAATGGTTTCATCAGTTGATTAGTTGATGCTGTGTTGAAGAGACGTATTGTGTGTGTATGGAAATGGTTATTAAATGGCTAAAGTATTGCTATGCGTTGGACAAGGTCTATGAATGTGAGATGTTATATAAATTTATCAAATGTATTATATAATACAGTACCGACTTCTATTGTAATTTTTGATAAGGTACTTCGTATATTGTTTATAGCTAAATGTATTATGAGAACATATATAATTAATGTATTTACTTATTTCCTTACTAATTTTCCTGTTAGCCCGAGGAAGTGAACTTTTGATGATAACACGTATGCTTTAAACATGGTCGTTCGAGAGACGGAAAAAATTGAAAAGGGCTTGTAAAATGTACTTTGATAAAATGTATTTATTGGAAAAATATTTACCATTGTAGTTGAATACTTAATGAACATATAAGTATTGTATGGATTTAGAAAACCTATTGTTTGTCAGAAAATGATGTAGATACACCGATGCAAATGTGGTAACTTCATATTTTCTCGCGGATTCTCCATCATGTGTCTATTACCTACTTATTACTTAGTCATATTAAGTACATATATTACTATTTTTTTTTATGGCATAAGCCACCTGGAATACCAGAGGCGTTACAAGTGCGTTACCGGCCTTTTGGGGATTAGGCGTTTGAGGATCGTTGGAGATTCAGGAATTGGGGAGATTGGGAAAGGGGAGGGTAATTGGGCTTCCGGTAACCTCATTCACACGACGAAACACAACGCAAGCGTTGCTTCACGTCGGTTTTCGTGGTATTACTCCGGTCGAGCCGGCCCATTCGTGCCGAAGCATGGCTCTCCCACACTTGAAATTATAGTTAGTGCCTGGATTATGTAATACTAACTACCGTACTCAGAAACATTTAATTTTTATTTAACTATCCTAACTATAAACTATTCCTTCGTAACGGTTTTGTCCGGAATCAATTAGATACTTACTTTCCTTAATCACAATTAAATTATTTCGACTGTTCAGTACCTACAATAAAATATTAAAAAATAATCACACTTTCATTAGGTAATTGATTTTATGACCAACTTTATTTTAGTATTTTTCAGCTAATTTTTTAGTAGGTAATAAGAACGCTGTTTGATGCTAAAAACCGTGACGTCACAATACACAATATCGTACAAAATTCATAGTAAACTGTAGTTTTTGACAGTTCGAAAAAAGTATTGAATTTGACTAGTTAGCAAGTACCCAATTGCTATGGACTGGGCCACAAGCAATGGCTCTGAGTACGGCGGTAACTAACTATCATGCAGTCATAATATCTAAGTTGCCTGAAGCCTGCCTCGTTGGCCGAGTGGTTGCAAGTGCGACTGCCGACCAAGTGGTCTCCGGTGAGATTCCAGGGTCGGGCAAAGTATTATACTGTGTTTTAAAAATACCACGGAGTCTGGAATTGTGCCCAGTATATGGTAATAGACTCACTCCCTATTACATGGGACTCATAACCTAAAAAGTAAAAAATACATTGTACAGTTGCATTACCTCTAAGTGCCGTAATGTGCACCTCTGCCTACCACTTCGGGGATAAAAGGCGTGATGTTAGGTATGTAATGTATGTCTGAAGAGATGACCCAATAAGTTGTATCTACATAGTGTGAATTTTTACTTAATGACTTCATGATAAAATCGTGTTTTTTCCAAAAAATAACCGTAATAATCACACCAGTGACTAATATCTTTAATATAAGCTTCATACTACTTTCACTCCGTGTAAATGCCAACTAATATTCACAAATTAGGTCCTATAAATACGGTCCAAAGTTCAGGCAAGAAATGACACCTTTAACGCACAAACCAATTTCGACCTTATTCTTGGGATACGAGAGTGGCTTTTGTAATCATATGTTAGAAAATTTAAGACAATAGTAGATAGATGTCGTTGTACCCATAGTTTGAATTCACTCAATCACTTTACAGTATTAATTATAATCTTGTATTATCTATAGAATAAAAATTGACTTCTCACCAATACAGACAACAGCGTGTCAAGCTTCTCCAATCTATCAATAATTTTCATTAAATTTTCAACTTTATGACAAAGGTGTAAAGTTGCAAATCTAGTAGCAGTAAGGAGTAGGTTGACGTGCTGTGTACTAAAACTAGAGTAGAAAAACTAAGTAAGATACCTTTATCCCTGTGATATCTATAAAAATATGTACCTTTATGTATATTTATATGTGTACCTAAGTCAACATATCGAAGAATATATTACTCAAAAAGAATTAATCTTGTATACCTATTAACTGGAGAGCTTTTTGTTCTTTATGTTAAAGAAAATCAGATATGAGATTATGGGGATATATTAATATTAGTGATATTTTTATTATACCTACATTTTCATTGAAGGGATAATCTTGTCAAGGAGAATAATAAAGCTACCATATTGTGGATAACGATACCTTACGAGCTAGCAAGCCCTTCATGTGGCAGCAGTATAATAGGTAATGAAAATATCTACTGTTCTTCTATCTTCTTTCTGAATTCAGTTTAATATGTACCTAAAAATAATAAAAATAAATACTTCAGCGTGACAATTCATCTAGGTTATTCTGTAACTTCCAATTTGGTAGATAGAAGTGAACTTGATCGCGGTCCGCCATTTCATTGGTTGTTAGAATAATATCGACCAATGAGCAATGAGCTGGCTTCGAAAATTTGAATTGATATTTACAGCCTAGCCTGCACCTCAATGAGCCATCAGACTATCAGACCACCACGGATGGCGCCCAATAGGGCTGATGCCGATACAGAGCCGCGGAGAACTCAACAGGTTACCGAGGCTCCGGCTCGAAGTGCAGGAGTAGCAACGGGGTGGTTTTTAGTCAGTAAGAGTTTGACACTCCCTCCCGCCTCATCTAGGCGGGAGACGTCATTCGACGATTTTCCCCCCTGAAGAAATTAAATAAAAAAAGCCCATGCATTTTATTTACCGTGAAATCTATTTCGTTTTCGTCCCGCGGCAAAACAACTTGCCATAAGGAGTGTATACATATATTCGGTGTATAAAATAAAAACAAAAAATAAAGATGTCATTTTTTTGTAGCAAAATAAATTTCATGGAAATACGCCCATGATACACTAGTTAGACGTATATTTGAAGGCACTATTCGCATTACACATGGCACCTGACGAGAAATACCTCTTTGAGAATTAGGTGCTTACAACGTGTTTTGATAATGTAGAACTACTTATGATATGGTGTTTTGATAATATATGAGTTCGTATGCGCTTTCGAAGTTTGCTTTTTGCAAAGGTTCACAAGTTCTTCTTTGTTTTAAAAACGATAATTCTTTGTAAAACTTTTATATTACCAAGTTATAACCATTTTACTTGGGGACGGAAACAAAATAGAATTACCGGTGTATTTCTGTGGTCTAGCCTATATTCTCCTTGATTTAAGTACTTGTATGATTATTGGTTACAAACTAGACAAAATCTTTCACATACTCATGTTGCCAACTACTGAAATTCTTGTGTAGGTCTATAGTCTATATACTATAATATCTTGTGTGTAAAAATTACCTCAGTGTTTTCAAACTCCACTTGTTTTATAGGCAAAAAAAAGGTTTTATTGATATTTGTTTTTAGTTTTTTAATTGTATACCTACTGTTATTGTTAATTTTGTAAAAATGTCTAAGAAGGAGCGGGGTCTCCTAACACAGGCATATCTTGCTTAAAAGGAGTCCCCAAGTACGATCACCCAATGTAATCACAAATAACAATAATAAAAGGATTCATTTTCATTTTCATTTTCACTTGTTTACTCCAAACTCCAACTGTAATTTCACTGTGTGTTAAAAATGTATGATAAAAATTCTAATAAACAAAAACTTTACCTACTTGTAAAGTATTGTAAAATTATATTGTCGTTGCAAATTTTGTTTAAATGTTGTGTGACGTTGGATGTTGCTTGTGCAGAAAATAATAAATAAATGCAATTGAATTAATTTTTTTGTTTCATTTGCACCTTTATAAGCACCTACTTATAAAATAGGCAGTCTGAGTACCTACTCAGACTGCCTCATTGACCGAATGGTCGCAAGTGCGACTGCCGCGCAAGGGGTGTCGGGTTCGATTCCTGGGTCGGGCAAAGTATTACTGGGTTTTTAAAAAAATCTCAGCAGTCGCACGTAGTCTGGAATTGTGCCCGGTATATGGCAATAGGCTCACCCCCTATTACATGGGACTCATAAATAAATAGTGACAAGTGGGTGTCACATCGTACAGTGGCTTAATGTACACCTCTGCCTACCCCTTCGGGGATAAAAGGCGTGATGTTATGTTATAAGTACTCAGTCAACAGTAGCATTCTCAGGGCGGAAGATCGAGATTTGTCTCTGGCCCACTACTGGTCGACTACCTGAGAAACTCAAGCACCTAGATACATTTTTAGTTTTATTGTACCTAACTGTACATGAAGGTGGTAGATCAACTAGTTAGTGGTGAATAAATATGATCAGAAAATACAATGTGCAAGCAGCTATACTCTACTTCCTAATTTCCTAAATGGGTGATTACTCTTGAAACCTATCTCAATGTCAATGCAATTTCAATCCAATATAATCTCAATAATTATTCAATGTCAAAACTATACAACCCGTATCGTAGCTGTTACAATAGCATTCAGAACATGGAATATTAATCCAAACTTGAACCATTAAGTTCATTAAATATCCAGGCAATACCGATACATACAATGGCTTCTAGTATTGCAACTCAAGAGTACGAAATTTTACAATTAGTACCTACCAATGTAGGCCGATCGGAATAATTGGTTTCAAGATTAAGCCCCCTGATCAATTTCGAACGTTAGTCGGGCGCCTTTCATTTGGTCAACGACAATCCCATACATTAGGTACCGAGGTAATTCCATGCTACTTACTCAGAATTCCACAACCAAAATTCTCAATAAAACCTGAACAAGACTGACAAAGCACTGGTTTATAATTTTAATTAGGGCAAACGATTTATTATCAGCCAGCATTGACTACGGAAACAGATTAGGATTCTCGTGCCATTTACCGAAATGAGGAGCTATTTACTTATGTGTAATAGATTTACAATACATGCTCTGTCATTATATTCGTCTATAAAGAACGTTAGAACAGTGAACAATGCACCCTTAAGACACGTTTCAACGAGATCCTGTTGAAGGGGGACTGACTACCACATTAACGGTCCCTTTGAATAGGGACGCAACGGCGTGTGTCTCGAGGTTGAGGAAACATCGCGTCGTCTAAACAACTCGATGGACTCAAAAAATGGTACAACAAATTTGGTTGTACAATTTTTTAGCTAGGTGTAGTTATGTATACCTTCCTAATCCGGTACCGAATCGATGATGTGCAAGCTACCTGGGTTACAGTTATAAGAAGTAAATAAAATTACTATTCGTATTCATAAGCATAAGATGATCTACTAAAAGGTAAAGTAAGTAGGTACCTATATATTCGATCGGCACCTAGACCTACTAGGCTACCAAGGCTTCCTGATTCTATATCAATATAAACCTACCTAAGTGTCTATACCTACTGAGAACATTGA